TCGGCTTAACGCTTATCAGTTATCTGTGCCATAACCAGCGGGGTTCCGACAGGGTGCACTTTATATACGCCGTATGCTCTCAAGATTTGTTTTCAAAATTATGCGTAGCGCGATAAATTTGCGACAAAAAAAAAAAATAATAATAATAATAACTATTGGTTTTTTTTAGTGGCTGATTCACGTCTTCACTCTAATTTAAAAACCAAATAATATTAATTTTAGGTCCCGATATTATTTTCTTCCGACGAAAACTGTGCGTTACGACGAAATGCATTGTTTATTATTGAATAAAATCGGCAATAACGTTTTTTTATAATATTTTCGTTTGTTAATAAAATAATATAATAAATGAAACTGTTGTTATACTTGTTTAGTTTATTCGTTTAGTTGTATTCACGTCGTTCATGTTTATATATTCATAATGTACATTTTTATAGTTATCAATACGATGCTTGACACGATGTAAAAAATAATTAAAACTCAGGGAAATTAAGTTAAATTTATACACGAATTTTTCACAATAAAAATACAAATTTGAAAAAATTAATCGGTTAAAGTGTAATAGATATTCTTGTACTACAGGTTCCTTTGCTCTAAACTCAAACAAAGAGTCGGAACCGTTAAAATGCGTTGTGTATTTGTTGCTACTCGTATATTACACATCAGAGAGACAGATAAAAAAAAATTACGTGTAGAGGTTTCTCAATCAAAATTATACATATAAAATATCAAATTCGTAGTCTGGTATTTAATATATGGCATATAAATGAACTTTTTTTTTGGATCACCAACTTTTTAATTGAAATTGTTAAAATTATGCTGAGTATACCCTCAAAAAATACGATGGGAACATCGTTGGTTATAACTACAGAGAGGATTTATATGTAATTAAAACACAAAAATATGTATATGCATATGGAAATATAATTTATAAATTATGTGCAAAAAACGTCAAAATTATTCGGGAAAAATGCTAATTTGTTGGCATTTTTCATGTGTTAATATCACAAAATACAAATACGTATATAATATTATACACATTATAGAATTTTAATTTCCTCGGTAAATTTATGTGCGCACTATTACAGCGGAACATTAACTGAAAAATACGTCTTGTCGACCGTAAACAATTAATGTCATTAAGTACATGATAGGTAACGGCCGAAAATAGATTTATACCGATGGACGGCTGCTACGTGGTCTAGAAACGTTATAAAACGATGAAACGCCAAAACAATATGATTCAAAATATTTAAAAACAAGTGAAGTGTCTGTGTCAAATGATTTCGGAGTAATTTTAACAATAATGTTATGATCGTTTGACTATCGAACATTTTGGTCTAGAGACGTATAATGTTTATGAAAAATTGAGTTATCCTGTTGAGAAAACAGTTGTTAATAACAGTTAACCGTTATAATATAGGCAACTGAATCGACTTTTTATGCTGTTAAGAAGTATAGAACATAATTACTATTCCAATTTAATTAATATGATAATTGAATGTGAGGTGATAAAAACTCGGGTTTATCGAGTGTCTGAAAAATCCAATTTTGAAAATTTGTGTTATGATTTTGGAATCTAATCACTATTTTTTTTTTTTTTTGTCTATATTTAACCAATTTGTTCTATTTGTACGTAAAAAAAAAATTGTATTTTTTATAACCTATAACTTTTTCAAATATTGTAGATAAATATTTGATTTGTTAAAAACGATTTCAGTGATTTTATTAATTATACAAATATTGTATAAAAGAATAACCAAAGATTAAAATTTCCAAATCCGGATTTTAAAAACCGGGATCGGTATTCGAATTCTCGATCTTCGTCAACCCGGATTTTCCTTGAGGAAAATAGAAAACACGTAGAATAACACCTGTGAAATTGAAACGTTTTTTCCGATAATCCATCACTTAGATCATCGTATACAGATATGTACGTAAACTGATTCGTCAATCTACTCTCGACGATTGTACCACATAAATAATAAATACATTATACCTACATTTATATGGTATTTTTATTGTTTTTGAAATTAATTCTGTTTTTTTTTGTTTTTTTTAGCGTATTATTACGTTAACGATGACGATCAATAATAATAAAAAAAAAATTATTCATAATAATAATAATAATGATAAATATAGGTGGATAACCTTTTTTTTTTATTCATTTATCTGTTTACCTACGTCATGTTTTACGTCGGAAAACTCAAGAATAGCATATTATATAATAAAATGGATCGAAACCTATTTTTTTATATATGTCTTTTTTTTTTTAACGTATTCATCCCATTTTTCTAACAAAACACTTTATCTAAGTATCAATACTATGATAATAAACTCGAGCGTTATATATTAATATTGTTTCGCCTTAATAGTAATAATATCGTGGATAGAGATTATTAAAGTTTGATAAAACCGCTAATTTTTTAATGTGCTTATAAAAAATATAAGTTATAGTTAATATTAATTATTGGATGTTATTGCGTTTCACAGTCATTAGAAGAATAAACCGGCGAAAATACCCTTTTTTTTTTTCAAACAAGATTTGAATAATAAGAAATATATAGAGGACAGCATTTTTAAGAGAACCTCGTTATTGGGTTTTTTCAAAACATCAATCAGAAAAAGACGTCTTAGGATAATAAAGATGAGTGCAGCTACTGTTATAAGTTATAACAGTAGCATTTTTTAAATGCATTATTTGGAATTTTTAGGGTATTAAAGCATTTTTTAAGGGCATTAGGATTTTATAGCGCATTAATTTCACAGCTCTAGTTATAAGTAATTTAATGTATACCTGTAAGCAACGCTAAATCATTGCTTATGAAAAAACGATACTGAGTAGAGTTCAGTTGATAGTGATGTTTTGTCAGCAATATATATGCCGTATTATGGTAATATAATTAAATAGGGTTTATATATTTTCTTTAATAATATTTGTTTAACATTGTATCGATTTTCCCGTTTTTCCTGTGTTTTACCCAGTTTCCCCATGTTTTTCCCGGTTTTTTAGATTTGGTGGAAAAAAACTCCTGAGAAAATCCGAAAACGACCACTCTAAAGTACCTCACAAGTTAGATTTTATTTCCTTTCAGAAAAGTTGCTACACATAAATATTTAAGCGAGATATCTTGTAGAAAGGAACAAAAAAAAAAATAAACATCTTTGCAAAACCATAAGCTTCTTCGCTCCACTTAGAATATAAAATACAATGCTACGAATTTATATTTAAATGATTAATAATAATAATGTTACGAAAAATGTATAAAATGTCAAGTATTTCTGATCTGCCAAAACCAGTGGCGTAGTTATGGGGAGGATTTCGGGAAAATATCTCCCCTAGAGCCTTTTATTTTTATTTTTAAATATTTAAAGCATTAACTTATATTCTATATAAGGTTATTTGATTATAAAATTATATATCCCCCTCCCCCCCCAAAACAAAATCATAACTACGCCACTGGCCGAAACAATTGTATCCACATAAAATCCAAATAAAAAAAAAACTTGAAATTTTCTAATGCATATTATTCAGAAAACACATGAAAATCGAAGTAAAATTTTTAGTAGAAAAGTTGTTTTTTTTATGACTGAAAATAAAATACACATCGTAGTAAAATCAAAACATTTTCACACAGAATCTAAAGTGGATTTTTTCATTCATAATAAAAGGTTCTATTGGAACATTGATTTACACAAATTTTATTACAGGCGGTATGTACTTTGAAGGTTACTTGTGAACCTAAAATAGACATCTTTCCAAGTTTGCTTAATTTAGCCAATGGCCAGATATGTCAAATCAGCGTTTCACAAAATATTGAAATAATTTCAATAATATAAGAATCATCACATTAGTAAAAATAAAAATGATATAATATTAATCAGTATGCAGCGCTGACTAGTCTGATAGAAACGGACATCTCATCGGCCCGAAGGCCGATTGGTAATCTTATCATATCTTAAATCGCGCGACATGACTTTATCAGCATAAATAAATAATTTTATTTGTAAGAAGAGTCTAATAAAATGTTTTATGTATGAGTGAAACACGAGTCTCCCTCGATGCATTTGTTCAACCTTCACCAAACCTTTTTAAAACTATGGGGCGCTCAGCTCAATTTAAAACTCGAAATAACATTAATAATATCATTATTATATCAAATATTACTTGTTTCATTTCCGAACGATTTGTTTAGAGTAATAATGGATATTGTTTAGTAATTTGAAAAGCGCAAGTATAACCTAGCAACGTTTAGTGTTCCAAGGAAAAATTCAGAAGACAAGAAGAATCTTATTTGGTTGAGGTAACGTTTTTAAATTATTATAAATGCAATTAAAATGAAAAAAAAAAACAACAACAATTTTGGAGGGGAATCGACCTCTTCAAATCATTTCCAGGTAAGATCTAAAGAGCGGACGTTCGAAAATTGACGCAGTTAGCCGCCAAATAGATTAACACGCCTCTGCCCGTATACTGAGAGTGCGGCGTCATCTCAACTATATTATTGCAATTGTATTTAAAAGGTTGTAAGTTAAATTTGATCAAAAACATTTCGCGGGACTCTATACAACAATAATAACAACGAAATATTAAGGTAGACAATCATAGACAGTGGCGTGCTCATGGATTTTCAATGGAAGAGTATTTAACAAATAAAAATCGCGAAAAACGAGTAAAATCTTCTCTTCTACCCTACTCTACTTAAGGAATTGGTAACTTAAAAGGTGAATCCTAAAAAAAAGCAAATTTCTAATCAATACAGCAAGCTTTTTTCAGAAATCAGCAAACATTTATGAGTTTCGATATTAGATTACTCATATTTTGTTGTATTTTTAAGCCAATAGGGGAATATAACCCCTCATAGGCACACCACTGATCACTACTGGGTCTCGTCGTGCGCATACAAAGGATCGTATTAAACGGGTTTTAGAATATTTACATTGTAAGTCATACAAGTCCGCCCACTAATATTATTAACGGATAGATTGCACGTATCGGATCAATTTACTTCAGTAACACCGACGTGATTTCTCGAAGAGGCAACTTTTACAACGCGATCTAATCTCGCGACGGGTGTTGATAATATCACATGGACTGCCAATAAGTGGACGCACAACCGCCGGCTGACATTTTCGTTGCTACGACAAATTAAATTATTAGTATTATCACGTTTGTTTGATTTGGGTAATAGTTTCCTGTTCTTCTTCTTATAAGACCAACATAAAGCAATCACGACAAATTCTTCTTCATCGCTTTCCATTTTGTTTCGCGTACACACAGTTTTCGCTCGTCTACTCACTACTGCTATTACAAAAAAATTCGATTACAAATGGCCGTCGCGTCGGCAATCCGATATCTACGGATACGGTGGACGTTCTACCAAAAATTAACCCGTTTGGTTATGTTAGATTGCGCACGAAGCGAACCTACGGGCGCTTACCAATAATATACCGTTCACAGGTAGGTAACTATAGTGAATTTTATCGTTTATCGGATTAATAAATGATACGGTTCAATCGAACGGTTACCGCGGTAATTGTAAATTGATCGTAGCAGTTTGATAATAAATTATTATACAGTCGGTACGGTGCGCGGAAGACTAAAACTTAAAACGTTTTCGAAAACGTCTGGTGGCCACATGAGATTCGAAGTCCCGATTTCGCGGATAATTACTTTATAAACGCCGCCGTCGGCCGAATTGCCGACTACGAGTTCTAAATAAGACCCAAAACGAGGTTCACTAAATATTTTATCATATTATAATATGTACATGAATCATCGAACATATTTATTTTAGACAGAATTCGCATCGTTTATAATACTTGAGTTATAGATATTCGTACGTCTGGTACGACCCCCCCTCCTTATTCGATAAAATAATAATAACGTCATATTTTTTTCATACCCAGTCATAATTATACAAAAAATAAAAAGCCGTGAAGTCAATAACATAATAATAATAACAATAACAACAATAAAACCGAAGTATCGTCATTTTGTTGCTAGTTTTTCTTTTTTTTTATTTTTGTAGAAAAATTACTGTTGGGAATTTAGACGTTTTTCCGAGAAACAAAAATACGCGCGCTTTGCAGTAAAACTAATGATATTTTCTTTACTATTTGAAATTAAATATCACGTTATTAAGTAGCTGTGAGTTATTTGAATAACAACTACTGTCTTCATAATATTGTAAAAACCAGTGATGGTTCACCTGCATACGAGCATGTGTATCGCCGAAGAAAAATGTGTACTATATATTGTTAAATGTTTAAGATATGATAAAACTGCAGATAACTGAAACTTAATATCAACAAAATAATAATTAACGATAACAGCGCCTCGTTTTCGAATATTTCTGACAGTATGTTTACAGTAAAATGTATCCTCGGGTATATTTTAAACTACACGCCATCGTCCCCTTTTGATTTTCAAAAATATTCAGCTCACCACTTGCAGTAATAAGTTTCACTAGCTACCCAATGATACTAGAAAATAAAAATAAAAAATAATAATAATAAAATAATTCAAAAAAAAAATCTGCAGTGATACGAATACTCGAGTAGAAAATATTGCGCACTTCATCGCTGTAACAAAAATTGGAAATTGTTCGTACGTTTAAAAAGAGAGAGAAAAAACCGATTATTATACGAGGATCCGCGATGACTCTTGACGAAATATTATGTGACACAGTTAGCTGACGGTTTTTACGGCTTTTGTGTAATTGCCGTCGAAATAATTACGTGCAAATGTCGTCCGTAAACAAGCAACGCGTATAATATAATATGATACGTAATATTTCAAAAAAAAAAAAATTTTATATTTACAAAAAAAAAAAAAACAATATCCCGGGAAAACGATAAAAACGGAACGCACCAATATAGTAAATAATTTCATTAGATGAGGGGGGGGATGGTGAATATATGAAATTCCGCCTATTTATACTTTTAACGACTTCGCGTGCGCGGGAAACTTTTTAATATATTAATCTTTTACGAATATTTTAGAAAACTGCACGCGAACACAGCAGTATTATTACTGGGGAAATAAACTTAATACTTATATTATTATAATAATATAAGTTTCCTCGGAGACTTTTAATTTATTCGGTAAGAGTAAATCTGACCCGAGTCGAAGACGAGAATTCATAAATCCGGTGAGAGGTTGGGGGAGGGTTTCCGTGTTTTTCAATAATTTTAAACGCTATTTAGCCGTGGGCACGGATGTCTCGATTATCGTTTTATCATTGGGGTCTGGATTTAAATAGCTGAAAAACTATAAAAAAATGTTCCAAAAAAAATATCTGAAAATCCCCTTAAATTGCGAAAACAAATCGGCAATAATAACGCGAATAATTAACAAAAAATAACATAAAAATTGAAAAAGAGCAAAAAAATACAATATTATATTTCGGTGAAATCGTTATGGTATTGGTATTTTTTTTTTTAATTTTGGTCGAATTTTTGTCGACATTATAGACTATTGCACTGTATTGTTTTTTTTCCGCTACTTTTGGATGGGTACTTTTTATTAATTCACAGGGCCAATTTATGAGTTAAAACTCAAGAGTTCAAGGTTTTTCTAATAAACGAATTGAAGTGAAAACATTTTGATTGAATTTTAATATGAATTTCTCCATAATTATTGTGAAACGTGGTTATTAACTAAAGCATATAGTAAAAATCCACAAATGCCATGAAACGTGGATGCTGCGAGTGAGTTGGACAGAATGCCGTACTATTGAAAGAATACTGAATAAAATTCATGATCATAGAGAAATACTTAACACCATTTGAGCAAGACGATGGAACGTACATTCATTTCCATATGCGTGCATATACGCGGACAGATGAAAGATCATCTTAAGGAAATTTAAACTTTGGGTATATACGCTTAAACTGTGGACTTTTTTTTTAATTTCTGGATTCTCTTAGTTACTATTACATAAAATATGTGTAATTTGTACAAATTAATCAGTTAATGGCGACCTGCAGTGGTTAAACTAAGTCCACGATTTTTAAATCTCACACGATTGATATTGCTCGAAGAAAAAACATTGATTTAAGATCATTTTGATTGAGAATGACTACAAATGAATAATAATGAAAAAAACAAATAATACGATAGTCTGCAGTATTTATAATATAATATACAAATACAATATTAATATTATATTATCCTGTGGAAATAGTTTGCTGCACGCGAGAAGAAATCCAACCCGAATCGAATCCCGTGAGGTAGCGAATAGGTGATTTTTTGGTGTGAAGCATTCAACCTTCTCCCTCGAAAAAAAAAAGGAAAAAGAGAAAAGAAAAAGTCACCGTTAAAATCGACCCCGACTACTTACAAAGGTCGTCCTATGTATAGGTATAATATTACGTGTCGCATTGTTACCGTTGTGAACATCGATAAGGCGCCGTTATTTTAATTTACTTTTTATTTATGACCGCCGACTTTCCGTCGGACTCAGAACCCAGTCGTCGTTGTAGTTTTTTTGGTCGATCGAATTATAATACCTGTATCGTGCAGTTGTGCAATTCGTCTCGCTTATAGTCATTCCGTCGTATACAACCGGGACACGACGACGGTGCGTATGGAAAGGAGAGGAGCTATCGTCTCGAAAGATAAACATTTATCTATATAGTTTGAACGGTCGACGAGATAAAAAAAAAACATTCGTGATTATCAGAGCTCTGTCAATAGAGTCGAATTTTTAACCACGTATTTTGTATAACAGCAATATTCTTTACGAACTAATAAATAACTCAGTAATATAGGACAGGTATTATTCTTATGAAGGACTGGTATTATGTTATGTATAATGCACTATTTTATTATATTGTGTTATTTCAAAAAAAAAAAAATGTGATATTTTATCATAGAAAAATACGTAGAGAGAGGGTTAAAATTTGAAACCCCCAAATGCATATCCTCAACACAATGCCATGAATTTCCAAATTGTCATCTTCCTGACCCAAGTTTGTACAAAGTTAAAAAAAACACGCTCTAAATGTAACAAAACGGTCAGATCCATATTGAAATTCAACCCAATTTTATGTTTCCCATCAATATGTCTATAAAAAAACAACTCTAATTTCCAAATTTGAGTTCATTTGATCCAAAAGCAGCCGCTAGAAATTTGTAAAAATAGAGGGAGGGAATTATATAATATGTGTGCATACAACAGCCACTATACACAGTGCAATAGTCTCTACATTTTCAAGGAATATCGGCCAAAATATGACAAAGTAGGTATAACTTATAAAACGTAGAACGTATAGATTAAGGAATTATTAATATAAATTAAAAACGTACGACAGGTAGTAGGGGTAAGATAAGAAACGCACTTAGCTTAGACAAGTAGGTACTTAGTTTTATATGTCTCCCCTGATTATCCGCCTAAACGCGTAGATATGAAAAATTCAATCACTTAAAACCAAACTTATATTATTTTATGGTTCAATGTTTTACAAAAAAAAAAAATACCGCAATTAACTTACTGCAGCAGTACACGGAGCACTAGTGTTCGATACGATTACTGTAAAAATTGCAGATAAGTTAAATAATAATTATTATTACTATACTTACGCGTACTTGGCGACCACCCACATCTAACCGCATTAGTCACACACCATGTAATTTAATACTGCAATAATAATAAGTTCTATGGTACAGAATATTATTAGTAGTTGGTGGAAACGAGATAACCAGAGGAATATCGTCACGGGACAAACGACTCAAAACGTACAGTCGTTTTTATTTTTCTTAAGCAGTCGTTTACATACTTACATATAATCGAGCTATGTGGAAGTAAAAGTTTTTTAAAACTAAACAATTTCGTTCAAACAATCAATCACTTTATTCACGGGCCATTGCATATTTTTTAAACAATTGTTATCTACGAAAAATGTAAATATATAAGAGATTGAGTATAGGAAATTTTAAAGAGATTTTTTTGAAAATATTATAAACATATTTTATTGACTCAGAAATGTTCAAACTCATTTTTTGTGCAATCGTGAAATGTGTTCGAAAAAATATTTACGTATAAAACGGAAAAAATTAATTTAATTTATATTTTTAATGGTCGTCGTATAAATTCTGAAAGTTTTCATACAAATTCGTGTCAAATAGGATACAAATGAATAGCAGAACAAAAAAATTTAAATTTTAAAGAGCAGTTGATTTTGAATTTTTAATCGTTGTGAAAGTTGAAGACAACAAAACATTACCGGCTCATTAGGTAATAATGACGTATTTATT